ACGTTGACCATTTTCATATACAAGTGAGAAGGACTGATTCTTTTTATCTGCCTGATTCTGACGCAGGAAATTTACCTGCATAATTGTTTGGTTCAAATTAAGTCAGGAATAGCTACTACGATTAGTGGACCAATGACGACCACCAATCAAACTGTTGATTCAATAATACATACAGTCTGCTGGCCGGAGATGACTTTGGAAACGGCATCCAAGTTCAAGTGTTTTTCCTTCTCCCCCGAGTACCAGATTAAGATTTTCTCATCCTGCAAACCAAATAGCTCAAACAGATGAGTTGCAGAAACATTCCTCGAAGCAATGCTTTCCGACGCGTAACAGAGCATCAATAAGAAGAAAGTTGGGAAAGAAACACAAATGTTCAGCCCTGAAACACATACTGTTGATATCCTGAAAGGGCAGAATTTGGGCTTCCCTCTCCTTCCACATTTCAGAAGATGTGCACCCTTCTTCAAAGCTGTAATGGCCTTTGCAAGAAAACGAGGGGGAAAAAGCTCATTTCACAAATTTGCGCATCTAAACGCAAGAAGAAACAGTAAAGTCATTTGCATCAGAAGGGTCTAAGAATTAGGAGATTGCAGTGTTCAGGCTTCAAACCGAATTCCTAGGTGACCAAAAAATTAATTATTTTGTTGAAATTAGTTGTCTGAAAAGCTTCAGAAAAAGAAGGAAATTTATTTTGGAAACAATGAAATTTGTGTATACATACATCACAACAACAGATAAATGACAGACCATCACAAGAGGATACACAAGTACATGGATAACATAAGTTCCATTCATTTAAGATATGAAAAGGACTGCTTAAAAACTAAAAAAGATGATAGGTAGGTCATTTGGATCACACTCAGAGGGAAACACAAAGAAGATGATGTTTCAATACGTGTAGTAAAACTTTTTATGCCCTCTTCAAGAGTTCTGCAAATCCACACCAAATTAAATCTCCACGAACTCTCTCCTCTTTTCCCTTGTGTGTTTTTGTGTGTGTGTGTGTGTGTGTGTGAGGGAAGGACGGAGGGAAAATTACATCAAACTAGAGTTCCATAATCGACGAAAAAGAAAGCATTCATGTCATTTCAAATGTATAATCCACATCCAGCTTCTTGCCAGAGAATGAAGATGGCTACTACAGAGAGAGAGAGAGAGAGCAAGAAACCTGTTCAACTTCTCTGACCGAGGGGGTTCTTCTTTCGAAATTTTCAGCCATTTCACTCCGCTCGACGCTCTGCAAGGGTGCTCATCGAACGAATAAAGAGGAAGAAAGAAGAGAGGAGGACATCACGCAACAGAAGCCAAAGAAAAAGCAGGAGAGCAACAGAGAGAGAGAGAGAGTCTCAAGGACTGTGGCCTTCCCCAGGAAAGGAAACAGTGGTGTACTTAAAGGAAGAAGCTCGGGTGACAGAGGAGGAGCAACAACTGATCCTGGCCTCAGTAAACTACCGACTACAGAATCCTTTCTTTCCTACAAAGAAAGTGACGGAGAGGATCCTGAGCTGTGCTCACTTTTTTTTTTTTTGCTGCTTTTTCTTCCCTGCCTCTGCCTCTCTTTCGTTCTTCTCCAAGACAAGGATCATCTCGGACATGCATCCAGGCTTGCCATGACACCAGCCTCCCACCTCCTCCTCATGGGCTGCTACGGCTGTCACCAGTATACTGTTCTCCTCGGCTTTAGCGCACCACCGATGGCGGAGCGAAGGTACGCAGCATTTTAAATTCGAGCGTATGGCACAGCCAGCATTAATTAGTCTTAATCCGAGGCTGAGAAGCAGCGAGCAAACGAAGAAAAGCGGCGGTGGGGAAGGGAAGCACGTGTGCATCGATGGCTGCCGCTGTCCGCATCCGCCACACCCAACCAACTCGGTCGCCGCGCCATGTGATGCCGTCAATCGACATCATGAGCTACCGGGAGGAAAAGAACTGAATCGAATCGGGTTTTATTCGGATCCGGACCTGAAATCCAAAACGATAAGCTTTTGGATGTGACGCCGAAGAAACTTTAATTAGAAGTATCTAATTATTTCTGAATGGATCTAAAATATATTCACGTTAATGGATTTCCAACATCCAACGTCTGGGTTGGGTACTGTTATCTGTCGACTAAACGGTGATGCCTGATTCCAAATGTTCTCTGTCAACCATGACGCTTCGCTCCGCCATTAAGACACGGAGTTTGAAGCGTACCAGCGAGGAAGACAGCGAGCGGACTCTGCTGCGTCGCTGCTGTTTGCGTCAGCGGAGACGAACAAGTTTGATGCCGCACGTGATGCCCGTCACGTGAGTGAGCACATACGTACTGACAACTAAAACGAGACTACACAGAGCACGCAGAGAAACGAATTAGTGCGATTACAGATCAAAACGAAGATTGATTGGTTTACTACACATGTGATGTATAGGGATTTTGCCCAAATTTCATCGTACATAATTTTGATTGGCCGCCGACAGTTAATGCAGAGCGGCCGGTCGGTGGTGAGATGGAACGGTTGGTGGCTCGCCATGGGATTCTGTGAAGGACGACCGGGCTCGTGCTTTATGCATCAAGTTTCACGCAACCCCATGATATCAGCAGTCCTCCCAGGTGATCCGTGTCTGGTTTCGTGTGTTTGGGTCATTTCTTGGGACTGCCACTGTGGTCAAAAGAAACGAGGCAGGCGATCTTCTATAGACCATGCAACCAACGAGGAAGAGCGCGATGTCATCTTCATCGTTTCCACGATTTAGAGTTAATCATTATCGACATTTAGGGTGTTGCAATATTTAATGGTAATATGAGAGTCAACGAGCTCCGAAAGATTCAATCGGAACGAAGATGAAGCATAGTTTATATGGATGATAACAAATTAACGAGATATGATGTGATGGCGACGAATAAAAACATTATGATCAATATTTTACGAGGGAGTAGATGGTTAGATACTAAGATATCAGAGGAGCCATAAGAATACAAAACGCGTTCCATCATCAATCATCCGTGTGATGGATGAGGATCAATAATTCACCTCACCGAACACTACTAAAGAACTACACGCACAGGTCACATCACGATTCCAAGGCCATCTCGCTCGTCTTCGTACGTATATCGTCTTGTTTAAGCCAATCAAACTGTTCTTAAGATTCTCTAAAGAGCTGTGAGAAGCTAGATGACAAATGAACTTGCCGTCAACCATGTGAGCTAATGAGGATCTAATCCCTCCTTTTATTTCTGGTGCTCGATCCTCTAAAGGGGACTATGGCTACCAACTTTGTGTGATTATGATTGGAATCGATGGGTGATCACGAAATATTTTCTCGAAACAAAAGTACTGTACCACTGAAAACAACCAAAGTAAAATATTTTTAGTGCTCTTCATCATAACGCATTCGGAATGATGCAGCATTCTATAATATTAAGCATCATTTTTTTTTGTTACACTTAGTTAGGATGAAGATATTTTATTCATAATCTAATGGTCTTGATCTATTATAGAACATAGAAATAAAGACTTCATAACGATAATAGAGAAGATATTCATCTCTAGTTAGGCATCTCAGTGAACGATGTTGGTAAGATTACAAGAGAGAGATGTGGTCGTTCCTTTGCCTGCCCTTCTCAGTTTTCTTTTCTTTTCTTCTACTGATGAAAGGTGATTCTCTCGGAACACTACATAACAATGATACAAATGACAACTAGCCTTTCTCCCAAAGTGTTCCCTATCCCGGTAGGCTATGCTGCTTTCTAGGGTTGGGAGCTCATCCTTGGAGTACTTGTATCTGTCATAAAGTGGTCTCTTCAGGCAGACAAGCCAGTCCATTCGACTCGAAAAGTCAATTAGGCATATAGGCTTTCATGATTGTACAGGACTGAAAGCTCCATGCCCAGATGGAGAAAAGGATTACATGACAATCTCCTTCTTTTAAAGCTTTTGGAGAGTTTGCCGTCGCGCTCACCCCAGCGCCGGTGTGAGAGTGTCGTGCGTGTGTTCTCTTTCGCGTTATTATTGCTTGTTGGTATGTTCATGGAATTGCTGGATTGTTTATATCATAGCTCGTTATTTCTGGATGATCTCTTTCCTTGGACGTTTTTGCGGTGTCATTGCCTTACGTTGATCTCTGCAGGAAGGCCTTGCTCACTGTTCTCGTCTCCCTACTTCATTTCTCTGTACACGTAAAGCGAAATGAGAGGCAACATGATGACAAAAGCCATGCATTTGTCTCCTGTCCCACTGCCACGCCCACGAGCGGCCACGCTCGGCTGCCGGCGCAGCGGTTGGCCGCGGCGTGGTGTAGACCCACGCCTGTCCCGTGCGCAGCAGCGCCTGAGGCGGAGCAGCGTCGGCCGGAGTTAAGCCCATGCCGCATCATTATCGCCATGCAACCCCCGACAGCGGCATCGATGATGGCCTATACATGTCTACCTGCCACTGACCGAGCGTGTCATAGATTTGAAGGCCTCGGAGAGGATGACACAGCGAAGAGAAGACCGGGGAAGGCTGCTCGAGCTGCAGCAGCTGCTGCTTCGGAGACAGTCACAATCACAAGGCTTCTGGACGCCGAACTGGGACCATTTTACCTGAGTGGCCACCGTGTCTCGGAACAGATTCGGCCTCAAGCTTTATACTATTCCCATAAAAAAAGTGCTGTTTAAACTGAAATGTCAATCAAAAACATCAAAATCGGAACTTTTCTTACATCGCAATCTATGTTGAAGACCAAGTTTCACAGGCATAACAAGTACATTGTCATATGAATTCCGTAGGACTTGTGCTACAATGATAGATTACGTCAACGAGTCACAGTTTCATGCCGGGCGGCACCGTCAAACTATGCAGCTCGTGTTGCTGAATGAGATGCAAGCTCCTCTTCCCACCTATTTGGGCCTCAAGTGGGCTTTCGGTCCGGTTTGAAACCATAACGAGGCCCTATTCTAAGCAACCCGGTCCGGTTCATATGAACCGGCTCACCGCCTTCTTAAGGATCGTCGTTCCCGTGGGAAGCGTCTTACCCCAAACTCCCCTGTTTTGCTCGGTGGTTCCAACGGTGGGGTGCTGCGGCGATGGGGAGGGCGAAGAAAACCCGCAAATTTGCGGTCATGAAGAAGATCGTCAGCTCGAAAACCCTCAAGAAGTAAGCGAAACCTTTTCACTCTTCTCGGCCTCTCCTCCAGTCTGTGACCCAAACTTCCTGCAGGTACAAGGAAGAGATTCTGAACCCTAAGAAGAAGGATCTCGAGAAGGAGAATCTGCCCCGCAATGTGTACGAATTTCTTTTTTCGTCCTTGAGTTGCCGTCTAGCTTATTTTTCGATTGATGTTTTGATAGCCCGAGCGTATCTTCGGCGCTGTTCTTTAAATACAACACCGCACTTGGTCCGCCTTACATGGTCATCGTGGATACCAATTTTATCAACTTCTCCATACAAAATAAGGTGACCCTCGTTATAGTGTTTGCGTTCTTGGATGTTGATTGTTTTATCTGAACTAAAAGTGAGTAATTTGGTTTTCTATGCCTCAAAAGATTGTTTTTTTTTATGGTAAATGTCTTGATCATGGGCCAATATTTGTGGATCCTTTGTTTTGCAACGTAGTCGACCAAGGCTAAGGGCTCAGTTGTTACCTTCAGATTGTATGGAATCCCTTAGATCGGTTCCTTTGCAGTAGGTGGTAGTTAGTGTCTGTCTGCGGATCATAGCCCCTGATGGACATATGGGTGATATTGCTACTTGTTTTATAGCCATCAAATAATAAAATTGAATTTACAGTTTTGAACTGGTTTTTGTTTAGAGATTAGTGTCGACCGGCTAGGTTTACATTCTAATGAGCGGCCTTTAGTTCAGACATGACAGGTTTTAGTGGAAACCAGGAAAGTAGATATGAATGAAATTATTCCAGTGTTGTATCAGCCCAATAGTTACAAGGCAAAATATATCTCGTCTTGTAAGCCTTAAGATTACCAATGCTACGAGGTTTTCATACTCGATGACTTTCATATTTGTTCCATCTTATCAGTTTTTGTTAGTAGCTGGTCTTTAATGCTGCCAACTATGTATTCCTAAATAACAAGTATGGTATTCCAATTTTCATGGAAATTTGATTGTAGTAATTAACAGAAGAAAATTAGCCTAATGATCTTTCTGGAAGTATAAGCATTCGACATGTAGTTTTTGTATTAGATATGGTCATATCTAGCAAAGATTGCAGTGTAGGGATTTTTTAGAACCGTCTCTGAAGTTTGAAAACAGTGTCTTGGTGTTTCTGTTTCTTATGAAGGGTGATGGTTAATCAAAATGTACTGGCACCTGTTAATTTCTTTTGAAAAGACAAGTCTCATTGCTTCCTCACTGGCCTTTCTAAACCAAACAAATAATGATTGGCAAAGTCTATAGCAAAAGCCTTTTATATAGTAATGCAGATTATTGTTCAATTCAATTTCAACTATGATTGACATGGAAGAAAATAGGGCCTCAAGTCAGTCAACAATCTAATACTTGCAAAAATTTGTAGTTGAAGTTCATCATAGATGTCTCAGTTTCATCCCAAGTTTGTAAAACGTGTTTTTGCTGTAGGAAAATATGTTATTTTCTATTGATTCTTGCTCATGGCTGATTCCTTTTTCAATTGTTTTAGTTGGATTTGGAGAAGGGCATGATGGATTGCCTTTATGCAAAATGTAAGTTGGCTTTTGGATGACAATGGTTTTTCCTTTTTTTATTCTTTAGTCAGTCATAGGATTGTCTGGTTCATTTTAGCAGCTTGATTTCTTTTCTTATTTTTATTTTTATTTTTCCTTGTTTGTGTTGTAGGCACTCCTTGCATTACTGACTGCGTGATGGCTGAGCTTGAAAAGTTGGGACAGAAATATCGTGTAGCTTTACGGTAATCTTTCTCATGAGTGCTTTATGCACCACTATTTAACTTCTTAAAAACTTCATTTTCCATGTACTTTTACCTATAATTCAAGTAGATATAAGATCAATTTTTTTTCTGTTTCTCCTACAGTATTGCAAAAGATCCTAGGTTTGAAAGGCTACCTTGCACACATAAAGGGACTTATGCTGATGACTGCATTGTTGACAGGGTTACTCAGGTATTGTAATACATATTGCACTGTGATATGGTAACTTGCTTTCTTACATTTGCTGTATGATTATCTTCGTTTCATGTAATTTCTTGTGCAAGTTATATGGTATACCGTGTTAAATTTCAATCTTTCACCTAAATTCTTCTGGAACTTCCCATTTACGTATGAACTTGCTATAGTTCTTTTTCCTTGGTGAATAGGTAAAGTATTTTTGCAACTGAGGAGAGGCAAAGAATAAATGTTCTAAAACGTCAGTCGCGACACTTGATATTACAGTAATAGTGAAATTAAAGTATATATTAAATATTAAATTCAAATTCTAGACAGCTATGGAGATATCCTATTGTTATGAAGTTGTTATAATATAAAATATCTCAAACAATAATATCTTGAATGACTACACTATATTTTGGTTTTTTGTAGAGTATCAACTGGTTGTTGATATCTGAATTATGTATTGTATTGGTCTGTATCAATCTTGTTTCTTTTGTTGAAAGTTTCCTTTTCTTTTTGGAAAAGCACAAGTGTTATATTGTTGCAACGTGCGATAGAGACTTGAAGCGAAGGATACGCAAGGTATATGCTTTAGAGCGAATTTGCAGTTCAGTATCTCGGTGACCTACCAAAGGTTTATAACAAACAATATGCATTTTTGTAGATTCCTGGCGTGCCTATCATGTACATCACACGACACAAGTACTCAATCGAGCGGCTACCAGAAGCAACAATCGGTGGAGGTGAGGGTCATTTTATGTCTTCAGCTAATTGACGTTGTGTTTTTAGTCGACTGCAGCTTCTTGTATTTCTACCACTAATAATTATTTGATCAATAAACTCTTAAATCCATATTTATGACCTGTGCAGCTCCAAGAATTTGATGAATAGTTTCTTCCAGAGAGAACAGAATCGCTTGTTGCCTCGAGCAGAGTTTGCAATTTCCGGTAGGAACAACCAGAACCGCGTTGTTAGCCAGTGGTGTTAGTCTGGGATGTGCAAGTGATTATTAGAGTCTCGTGAGATTCTGTAATGGAAATTTTTTTGATTTGTCTGCAATGTTTAAACATTAGCATTATGCATCGAATTCAGAAAGGAATGAAAGTTAGATGTGCCCTTTTTCTGATGTGCATGTAAATTTCGGTCTATTGGTCCATTTAAATTATGATTCAAAATTCAGATTTTTCAAGGTGTTAAGGAGGAGGATTGATGGAGAAAACATCGGCGATTGAAGGGTCCGGGCTCAACTTACCACCTTAAAGCGGTTGCTCGATTGGTTGGGGTGCTTTGGAGGGGTTAATATCGGGTGGGGGTTTCTGAGACGGTTCATTCGACGAGTGCAGATGAAGGTGAAAAGGGTCAGATTCTATAGTCGGACCCTTTGACTGGTAATATTTTACTTAGTAAAAAATATTTTTTTATTTGGTGAAGATCTATCGATGTGGATTGACGATTTCACAGATTGATGATGGTTGAGGACTTTTGTCTGTTTTCCCACGTCAACGATCAACTTTTCCAATTCTTATGCATCTTCCTTCTGCCATCTCAGTAGTTCCCATAGCAACAGTGTAAGATAAGGTCGATGTAAATAGGCCAGATGGGAGATCTTCGAATTGGAAAGCGATCTGTCCACAAAATTACAGGAAATAATTGGCCATACACACACAAGACCAAATGCATTGATTGATTCCATCAAAACACTATACAACACATCTTGCCAGGACAGATCACAGATTTCACATAGTGAGAAGATACAATTACTACAACGTACAAGAGCTGCATCGTGGACCTCTGCCACTCTTCTGCCTCTTCTCTTCCAGTGCCGCTGCTTCCTGCAACACGTCGAGGGAGTCGTTCTGCATGTTCAGCTTGGCCAGCGCAATCAGGGTAAAGACATTGCGCCTGCATCGCGTCCCGCAAAGCCACATCGGCTTGATCACACTTGAGATGGCACAGACTTCGCCTTGCATATTTTGTAGGTGAGATCAACGCCCCCACATCTATGAACTGCAAGGGAAAATAAACAAGAACATGATCAAGATAAGGAATTCAGTCTGGAATTCTGAAGTAAGGCCTTGTGATACAGTGCAGTCTGCAATGGGCAACATGCATGCCACACCTTTGCGATCCAAGTGCAGGAGTGGAAGTTGTTTGATGCATTAATTCAAGTTTCATCTTTAATTCTATAGCAAAAGAGGACCTGAGAGTAACACTGGATTGCTGTCTTAAAATCTTTATCACCGAAAGCAAAATCACCTCGCTTCCCTGCATATCCCTAATCTGTTGTGTCCATTCCTGAAATGATAGCTGATACCAGGGTAGAAAAGCTTAATGCATTATAAACTAAAACAGGCTTCACTATGCACAAAAAATGGGTACAAACTATCCAAAACCTGTTGTATTTCAAAATTGCATAGATACCTCATTAGTTACTTCATCAACTCTGTAGTATGTCATTACTAAAATTTGATGGATGGCGATAAGGTCCATTCTGGAGCAGGCTTCCCCCATAGGTGAAAGAGGTTGATGAGGAGCTGGAGGGGCTTCTTCACGCTTCTCAATACCCAACATAATGAAAGATGGCACCTATGCGTATCAGAAAGCATTTGCAATTCTCCAAATTTAAATATCAATCTTTTTAGAGTGTTTCAGGGATGATTTTCATCTTAGAGATTGCAATCTTAACCTAAACTTGTCGGGGTCAACCTGATCCCATCCAGACCGAACCCATTATCAAAAGCCTTCGGTCATTGTACTGAAAGTGTCATTGCAAATTTACTCGAGTTAACTATGTCTTCTAAAGTAATCTACGGGTAAGCCTCTAGAAATCAAATGGACCATCACCTGCAAATGCTGATGAGTAAACAAGAACATAAGATTCAGTTTTTGAGGGGACAGTACCATCCTTTGGTCTTCTTTTGGATGCCAATAGTTAGAACGAAACTGCTATATATTTAAGTTGCCAAAATACTATGCCAATTCGTAATAGAATTCAGATTTCAGCCCATGTTCATTCAAACTGGATAATTTATATAGACAGCAAGAGGACTAACTTGTGTATGCAGCTTTGAACAGTAGCTGAAAGAAGACCATACCTCTAATTTGGTTTGCAATGGTCCAAGTGTCACCACCAGCTTCTTTGAGTTGGGTTGATCCCTTGGTTCATAATGTAAGAAGCACTGAGAAGCAAGGTAAACTAGTGTGGTTGCCTCTTCAATTGAGAAATTTCCCTCCAAATGTGAATCCATTAAGACTAAGATGTTTTACCTCTTATCATGTCAAGAGCCTGCAAGAAGCTTATTCTCATTAGAAATTAAAAATAATCACATGTTTATATGTGAACAAAACTGTTCTATCAATGCATATAGTAAATTAGCAACATGGATTTATAAGTATCCTCTCTCTCTTCTCTCATATATTTCTTGTATTCTAGTATATGCTTCTCAATGTATTACTGAAATATTAACATCTGACAGTTCTAGGAGCACTATACATTTTATAACTTGAATCTACAGCATGTCAACATTTTACCGTGCTCACAGAGCTGATGAGGATATTTTATCAACAAGCATAAGACATGCAGCAAGAGTATATCTAATAAATTTTGCATTTTAATGTACCATAAGGGACTTACACTCTTACCCGAACGCTCCCTGCAAAAAATGAAAGAAAAGCATACATGAGTTGGCGGAATGCATTTTCCACTGAGAAGATCCAAAACAACAGTACCAAAGCTAAACATCACAGTCTCTGGAGTTGCTCTTCCTGCAGAAATGAATGAGGTTTCAGTTTGTCTTGTGGACTCTTTCTCTACTGTATACATGAATTTAACTTCAGATAACCTATACACTTCAACAATTAGTTCAGGAGGATCTTAGTAAATCTCTTCAGTAAAAATAAGCAAGTACCATTTCCCAAATACTCTGGCGGTGTATATGCTAGGTTTGTGCTATAACTTTTGCGATCCCTGCTGTTCTTCATAAGACCAAAACATGAAAGCCGAGGATCCCCATCCTGAGTATATGTGGAGAGTTTCAATCTGTTCTTCAAGTGAAATTGCACTAAATTATTCCTTGTTGAGTCTGAAATATGACATATATTCATCAAGAACCCAACAAGTACTATATAAGATATTATTTGTGCCCTAATCAGTCAAATTTGGAGCTAATCTACAGCTTCAACTCAAGTAGCCATGAATGCCATTTATCTATGATATGCACCTTCTGCCTTATCATAATAGTGATTCAAATATGAAAATGTTCATGTGCAATGCATATTGGTTACATCTCTGCATATTAAGCAATAGACATCAAAAAGTAAATACTGTTTCATGAGATAACTTAAGGTGTCTAAAACAGTTTTCCTTTTTCTGTTTTTATCCTTTTACATTTGCTGTTCTGCCTTGTAGGTCATGCATACACATTAAGATTTCATTGTTTTTAGTTTTTACCACAAAATTATCATGACGAAGATAAAGAATGTGTACAAGATTCACAGCACATTAGCAAATTAAGAGCTTTCTACAATAACAACATAATGATGCAAATCTAAGAAGTTTTTCAAACCCACTTGTCCATGCATCTAATGAACATTAACAAATAACTGTGTTATGTTATCTTTCTAAGAAAAAGAAAAAGAAAAAATCTGTTACCTTCAAACATAGTCCTTAAATTATACAATCTGGCTGAAGACTCGGTTCTGATTGCAAATTTGTTACCTTTGCTAACTTGGTTACACATGTATAAATCAATCATTAGTAATCTGCACTAGACATGTATAGAACACCATGTACTAGAACAATTAACCAACAGAAACAAACTCAAATTGATGCTTTGCTCAAAGCAGGGAGATCCGTAGGCAGGTTCTCATTGATAGTAAATTAGATGAAAAATGCACTCTCTAACAGCTCTTGAAAGCTTTGTTTCACACTATAGAGACTCTCTCGTGTGGTAGAAGCTTCGCATCGTGTTGACTCTACTATTGTCATCCATTTCATAAAAGAGCAACCTTGCCATGGCACCATGGTTTGCCCTTTAACAAATATAAGATCGGTGACAAGTTCATAACAACATCTAGCATATATCATCTTAGTTTCTGAACTTAAACTACACAGTATAAAAAAACTGCAGTGAAGTTGCAAGGAAATTCACTAGAACAGTACATGCTTGTCTCAGCATCATCATCTTGGTCTTGGAGTACAAATTTGTGAAAAAAAAAAGGTTCTGAAGAACAAAACAACAACATTTCAGAAGAAAACATGCTTGTCTCAGAAACATTTTACATTTTTAGACGAATCAAAATTGATGCCTCATTCAACGAAGTCAACCTACAATATCAGTAATTCAGTTATAATAAATGAATATGTCACCTCATAAAAAAGGACTCTGTAGGCATTTAGGTCATGGTATAGTGGCCGTCCCTCATTGCTGCAGTACTCCAAGGCTTCAGCAATATAGAAAGCAACCCTCAGACGCATTGCCCGTTCAATAGTTTGATTTTCCCCTGTCCAGCAAAACATGGGATAAACAAATAAGAATAGACATACCAGCATAAAACAAAACAACAAGGAACTGTGACAATTCCTAAAATATAAACTGATTACATAAGATGTAAGATGTTGAAGAAATACAGGTTTCTCTTTCATCAAGAAGCCTGCTCATTTGTGTTTTATCAAAAAATTCTTTCGTCGACTTTATCTATGTGATAAACGAATTGTTGTTTGCTATAGAGAAAATAACAAATGCACTAGATTTTGCTTTTATTTCAAATCAAACCCTTGCCATTTCTGCTTCTTAAAAGCACCAGGCTACAGCATCATTGTTTCCGGTTTATAGGGGGGACCAATTTATATAGATCTGTTGCTCTATCATCGAAATTGGTATCTCCAATTTTGACAAACCACTCAAACTTTATTTTTCCCTAATAATGCACATGGAGTTCATACTTGACAATTAGACACTAGTTATCCTACTTTAAATGAAGGTAAGTTCTCGATGAAATCTCAGCTACAAGCGGATGATATGACAAACTTAGCGTCCAAATCCAGATAATGACTTTGCAACTCTACATAGAAGAATGCAAAAGGGTAACTTTTTGACTTTTAGAGCTGCCAGCAAAAAGAAATGTTCCCCAATGAGAGTAACAGCAATGACCAGTTCAAAAGGCATAACAATTAGCAGAGCTTCACAATTCGATTTGGGGGAGAAGAAACCATAGTGGGCGTACGTATAGCGTAAGAGATGCTTGGCAAGGGTATCATTGGGCATATACTCGGCCACAAGAAGCCTCTCCTCGCCATCGCAACGGTAGCCGATCAAATTCGCCAGCCGCCTGTGCCTCAATTTCCCGACTCCCCAAGCCTCGTCCTGCAAATCCCAGTAAAACATTTGTCTTGTACCTATGAACAAATCGATCGACCGTTCAAGAAACAACAAGGCAAGATGGAACCCAAAATAAATAAAAATTAAGGGGGAAGAGTGAAGAATTGAGAGAACTGATTGGGATCGGGCGAGGCGGTCCTGGTGAACTTCTTGACGGCGATCCACCGGCGGTTCTGCAGCCAGCCCGTGTAAAAGACACTGAGGGCCTTGTCGCCGCTCTCCGACACGACGTTATGCGGGTTGAACCCATTGGTGGCCGCCTTGAGCTCGGCGAGCGCGAACTGGGAGAAGGTCGGCACCTCTCGGTCGCCGCAGGCTGAAGCGACAAGGACGTGCGGCGGCGCTGCTGGTGGTGGTGGTTCTGGTGGCTCCTATTCTCCGCCAGTTGGGTCTCCGGCAGGAGGGAGGAGTCGCCGCACTCCATCACCACCAATGACGACGACGAGGACTTCAAAGAGCTTCTCCTTTGGCGACGGAAACTGTAAGAGAATGGGAAAAAAGTGGGTAGCTTTACGAGTGATAAAGGGAATAAAGATCTACTGATCTACTTCTCTAAGTGTGGTTGTTTGCTCTCTCACTCTTTTGTACAACTTGTATAATATATAAACTCTCTCGTCATTCCGTCGAATGAGTAAGCATTAACTGAATACAAGAAAGAAAACTGTATTAGGGGTACCGAAGACGACTGTTGCTTCCGCTCATTATTTGTTCTTCTTCTTCTTCTTCTTCTTCTTCTTCTTCTTCTTCCGCACGTCTACGAAGATACATTGCTTGATTCTGAATTCCGGGCGAACGATGTTGGTCATCACACAGACGTTGATTCGTAGGAAACCAACACATGAACTCATAATCTTCCTAACATCACAAATTGAAATCCTTAATGCAACAAAACCTTAAGCTCCAGTCGATGGTGCTGCTCTCACTGAATCATGCTAGTTTCTGTTCTCTCTCCTTCGGGTCTGCAGTCTTACGTATACGAGGCTTTATCATAAGCAAGTTGTGATTAATGAATGCGTGCAGTTGAGAAAGGCACTCTGATGATGTCCAACTTTAGCTTTATCAATCTTGCACAGAATGATGGGATCAATCCATCCAATTATTCTGTTGAGGAAAATTCAAGATTGATATCCTTAACTATATGACGAAATCTCTCTATTTTATTGAGAGAAATTCTTAGTTCTGTTGAGAAAAATTCTCTCTTCCTGTATGAATAAGAAAGAGACACGTTAATGTATTCAAACTAAAGCTTCTTTAATAAAACTTCTTCAACAAAGCTGTATCTTCTATTCTTTCCAATATCATAATCTTTCTATCCCTTTTGTTTTGTTTTCCAAATCACTCTTTTTATTTAATCTTTTAGATTTTCTCGTTTTGTTTCGCACTCTTCGTTCTTGTTTACCAATCTGGACTCTAATATAATTTATTAAAAATTCATCAATAATTAGTACGAGTCAAATCGATCAAGATAAACTCGAACAATTTAAATTGATATATTGTGAGTTAAATTAGATTGATGGATCAAGATAGATTGATCAAAGGTGGCTTTACGAGCCGATCATTGATCCTAGTCTGTGCACCCCAGGTTGGAATACAACGAGTGAGGTGGTGATCCCCCACCAAATTCCTGCAGGTACTGCTATAGTTGTTGACCCGAAGGAAGAACAGAGCCAAATGTTGGCCACTGCTCTCTCTCTGGCGACGAGGGCCTCAACGAACAAGTAGCCAACTTCAAAAAATAGAGAGTAGGTAGTCTCATCTCATATCTCCACCTAAAACTAAGATTCTGTCATCGAACAAGCAGCCAACTTAAAAAAAAAAGAGAGTAGGTAGTCTCATCTCATATCTCCACCTAAAACTAAGATGCTGAGCGTATGTTCTAAACTCTTTTAACTTATGGTCAAGCTTTCCGACAACAGAATCACATGGAGATTTGACCATAAACAAATTGGTCTTCCCTTGAATCATCAACTAGATTGCATCAGCTTTTGTCTTCAGTTGCTACGAGATATTAGTCAATCGTTGTCGGGAAAGTAGCACAAGTTATAACCGCAAACACTCTTGAGGGCTGAGTTCGGCCACTAGAATCTCCACATCAAGTTTCTTGTACTCACAGGAAGTTGTGTTCATGAAGGGATCCGACGGGCTTCACTAATCTTCTATCTTTTCTCGGTCAAAGCTATCGAAATCAGTCCACTATGTATCCTAATCACAATCGTCATTCTTTCACACTACATTTCTTTTTTCTCCTGCACATCATGATTTTAAGATCAGAGGTTTTCTTTCTTCTTTTCTTTGGCGTAGGACGACTTGCATGGATCTCAAAGTCTTCGTGAGGCCATCATCGTGACAATAATGGCCTCAGATCATGACCGAGACATTGTATTACCTCAGTACTATGTATTTCGTCAAAAAGAAAAAAAAAAAGTTACAATAATCGTAAGAGAGACCCCTCGAATTAGGGAGTTGAAAATCCAATGAGAAAATTATACAGTTGACTTGGGTTAGTCTGTCGATGAAACGAGGAGCTTCGAGCATGCATCACTTCCAGCCTTCCGTGTGGCCGTTCGAGCATCCGTCTCGAGCAATGTCAGCGATCTGAACCCCTAAGTCGTAGACCGAGCCGATCTTCCAGTGAACCGGCAGGACCTCTTTCTGAGCCCAAACCCACTTCCCATCGTAGCCGCCCGTCACCACCATTCTCAGCTGCAGCGGGCCGACCGGCGCTCGGTCGGTGCTCCACACCGGTCCGTACTCCCTGCTCATGAATTGCCAATTCGACGACCCGACCTGTGAACAGAAAACGCGGCATTAATACCACTCCGGTCCCGTATGAACCGCCGGCTCAAATCTCAGGCTGTGACCGTACCTGCGCCACATCCACCGCCACGATGTCAGTCTGACCCCCCTGGTGGAGGAACTTGATGGTCAAAGAGTTTGGCCTTTTGCTCTTCTCTTCCACCCTAATGGACAAGTTCTTGTTGCTGTACTCACATGGAATCCTGCTTGCAAGAATCAAGAACATTCTGTAGTTCCGATACAACATTGCTGCCTGACATGATGTCGAAAGAAACAGTGCCCAACTTTTACCTTTTGTATTCCACATCCACGATGCCAAGTTTCTTCAGCGATTTGGCCATCCCACGTCGTGCCATGGCGACATAAGCCGGCCTGCTGAGAACCAAGTCGGTGTCGTTGCTCTTGTTGAGGTCCGTAATGATCACTTCGACCCCTCGACTGCTGCATATCTTCGTGTTCTTACATCTCACCTGCCTCAAAGAGATCTCAAGATTATTGCTGAGAAACAAAAAGGATGAAGATTTACACGAGTTATATGTATAATCGCGCAAGTAAATCTGACCTGGAAACATGCTCCGCAGCCAACCCCGCCTCTGTAAAGAGCAGAGCTTGCAGCAGCAACGTAGCCTCCGCTGAAGCCCAAAGCCATGGAGCCATATCCACAAGCCCCAACTACAAGCATAAAACCAATCTAACTTAGTTGCTTCTGCTTTTGGAGCACCGAAGTAAAGAAACACAGTTTGTAGTGCTGCGATATACCAGATAAAGCGGAGAAGGAGGTGAAGTGGGCAGCCGTGGCTTGATGCACGCACCCGCCACAGGCCGTAGCAGAGGAGAAAAGATGGAAGACAAGAAAGAACAGGAAGACAGAGCCACCGCCCATGTCTTGGCTTGGAGAGGAGGTGGAGGAAATGGTGTATGCGAGCTGATCATATAGAGGGGGGGAGGTGGAGGAAAGCACCGGGTTGCTGATGCAGCGGTTTGAAGTAAAATCCAGGGTGCTGCCCCACATCAAGAACAGTAGAAAACGAACGGCCACAGGGTGGACCAAAGTACACGGCGGTGCGACACACCAATCGCCGGTGAATTGGTCTTTCACCCCATACGCGAGAACAGAGCAGACCCCTGTTTGACGTATAAATCACTTGGCGTCTTCTCAGAACCACGTTTGAACTGTTCCTCCGGTATCTCTTTCGTAGGTAAAATTCTCATGGGCGATGTGATCTACTTGGTCTAAACCAGACTGCGATTAGGAACAAAATCCGCTCGCCGCCTTGGTTTTCATGTGCACCACCGGTGCTGGCTATATTCATCGATCCTTTTCAGCTTACTCCGGAAGCAACAATCCTTGTCGAGTCTCAGTCTTCGTGTGGGTTTAAGCCGCTGCCCACAGTAGTGTAGAAAATCTGTAAAAGATTTCAATTTTCTTCTTCTTACATGTCTGTATCTGAATCAGTTCCTCAGATCATTTCATAAGCTTGGTTGGTGAGCCAACGCAGGTAATGTTTCCAGTTGGCTTAATCCAATTGATGCGCTGGCTTTGACCAAGTCAAAATATATTTTTTCTATAACTAACAACGTCACGTTAACTGCTAAGTGGGGTGGATAAGCGCCACGAATGGATGACGGGAGGTGAGTCAAGCGATAAGAACGAAGAGTTGGCTTTCTTTCCGCGGCAAAAGTGACGGATCTGTCATATGCGATGCATGTGCGTGGAACACACGAGAGGGCAAGTCTTCCCGGACTCACTACTGCTCATATGTTGGGGCCAATAAAGAAGACAAAACAATCCATCTCGGTCCGTCCACATTAGCATATTGAAAAGAGTGATTAATCGCTGCCGTCGATTGTATATCCACGAAATCATATGGAGCACTGAGATGGATTAAAAAAAATCATGACATATGGAGTATTGAATTTGTAAAAATGATAAATATTAATTTTTTTTCTTCAAATTAAATAAGATATAATTTAATAATATATGTCAATCAGATTAGTGATAAAATATCAAACAAATCATAAGATAGGATTTGCATGAAAAAAATCTTTCAACATAAAGAAAAAAAATCATAAAATCAATCTTTCACTATAAAATAATAAAATTATAAAGTACATACTTTTTACACTAACCAGAAGATATCAAAAACTAAGCAAAAGAAGAAATCTTAAGGATTAAATCAGAGAACATACCAAAAAATCATGATAATTGAAATTAATTTCAGTAATCAATAATTAAATCTTTTTTGTGCCCAAATGAAAGTCTTTTTCTTTCATGTGACACTTTTTAAGTTTTTTTTTCCATATAACTTTCAGAGTTTTTTAGTTAACCTCATAGGTCCCAATCACTTAAGTCATGACCACCCACCAAATATGAGGAGAGTCTACATCCTTGCTATCACTTTACAAGTAATAAATATTTCAAAGGCAATGATTTAATTATCATCATGGATTTACTCAAAATATAATAATTTTATTTTCATTATATCTTGAATCCAATGCTACCTCGCATCAATATCAATATGCTTAGATTAAAATAAAAAATAAATTTTTATTGGGATAAATAATATTTTGATTCTCACAATATAAAAGAAAATTCTTTCGCTTGAGTTTCAATTATTTTTTCATCCATAAGAGTTCTTTACAAGTTTTTGTTGTAGCTATATACTCAAGTTTAGTAGAAGATAAAGAAATATATTTTTATAATTTTGATTGCCAAGACACTGCTATGAAATATCAAATATAAATGATATCAAATAACTAGACCTAGACTTTCTAGAATCAATATCATTAGCTATTTCTGAATCTATGTAGCTAACTAACAAAATTTTTTAGTGCCAAAGCACAAACATAATTTATAAGTGCATCTAAGACACCTAAAAATCTACTTAACTATTGTCCAGTTTTGGAGAAAAATCAACTAACCATCAATTGGATAAGCAATACCTATTCTTGTGTATACCATAACATATATGGAAGAACCGTGAGCTACTGAGACATAAAATACTTTATTTATATCTTATTTATCTTTTGCACTTGTACAATACTATTTCAAGTGGACAATAAACATGATTTGACTTGCTCATATTAAATTTGTAAGAACCTTTTAGATATATATCTCTTGAGATAATCAAAGTTTACTAATATTTCTTTATCATGAATAATTCTCATACCAAGAATGTGTTAAGATGGACTCAAGTTTTTTATACCAAAAGCCTTGCTCAACTCTCCTTTTAGATATGTAATTTTCTTAGTATCATAACTAACAATTGATATGTCATCTATTGTATAGCAAGAGAATAATAAAATTATCATTAAAAAAATATCTTATATAAACACAATGATGAGAAGTAGTCTTATCATGATATGTCATAATAGAATCAAATGTTTTATATATTGTTATGATGCCTACTTAAGATCATACAAACTCGTTTTCGGTTTGCACATCAGAGTTTTCATACTTTTAACTTTGAATCCCTTAAGTTTTTCAATAGTTTTCATACTTTTAACTTTGAATCCCTCAAGTTTTTCAATATATATTTCATTCTTCTGATCATTATGAATAAAATAAATTTCATGTCAAGCTATTTAATCTTTAAACTTAAATCGGTAGTCGATCCAAGAATAACTCAGGACAACATCTTGATCACAAGTGAGAATTTTTTTTTAAAATTCATATATTTTTTTTTATCAAATATTTTCACTACCAAACTTACCTTGTATTTAGGGTGTGACCAAACACATATTTGTTCTTTAATATTTTTTTCCTATTAACTAATTTTACTAAGTCAAATATATGATTCTCATTAAGGATTTCATCTCTTCGTGCATAACATTCAACTGTTTATCTTTTTCTTATGTCATATATCCTTGTTTTATAAATTTTTGGCTCTCCCTTACTAGTAAATAATGTATATTCATAACAATAATAGATTTGAGAAGGTTGTGCATCTTCTCAATCGATGTTGCATTTATGATTTTAGAAGGTCTTCCTTAACATGTTCATTAGTATGGTTGTTCACTATGATCTTCTTGTTCATCTTTATTATTATATTGAGATCTATATTATGGGAGGAGGCATTGAACAAATTTATAAGATGTTCATTGAATGACTTTGACTTATGAATTTTCTTTGTAACTCCACTATATTATAATGTTTTTTTTATAATATACTTCAAATGATCCTTTATATTTTCCACCGTTATCATCTTTGATATATTTAAATTATTATTTTTTATTTTTTAATATATATGTTAAAAAACTTAAGTTTATTAAGCTCTTGTTGTTATGATTCCAAGCATAAGTCCAAATCTTTCTGTTCCATATGGGACGTGTCGTGGTCGCCAAGGACGTCTTCTACAGTCTGTACGATTGCCATTCGCAAGCAGCTTCCTGTATCAAACACTATTTCATGAAAGAAATGACATCGATGATTCTGTAGAAGACAATGTTCTAAGTCAGAGTCACACCATACACTAGGATGCCCCATCTTATTTCAGGGATCTCTTCAAGGCTGAGCTACGCTGCCTACATGTCTTTGGATCACCCAGTAAGAAAGGTGAATGAATTGCTCAACTAAATCTAGCAAGCACATGGTTTTGCTTCCTTTGCAATCTGGTTGCTGTTTCTTCGACCCAAGTAGACTTGTCGAGTAAGGCAAAGAAAGGAATTCCCCTGATGAGAGAAGGGAGTCGTTCCTGTTCCTGGGACTGCCAAGGATGCAATGTACGCTGTGGATGAAACAAGGTTCATGGCTCCCTTGGTTTATTCCTCGAGAACCTCATGTTTCGACAGCTCCTCAAGGTGTCAGAGAAGTTTGGATCACATTGACATGCGATGCCCTTTTCATGGAGTACTTCATCGCTTTGCTCAATAGACGCATGTCTAGAGATGTAGAGACGACCCTAATTGCCTTGTTTGATGCAAATCTCCGGCTAGAGAGAAACTAATTGTTCAGCGTTCTTGTGGTTCGAAAGCTCTAATCCATCTACACTCTTTAACCACAATATTTAGCACCAAGATTCTTCGTTCATAGAAAACAGAGCTGGATCATTGATGAGCCTCATGCTTACGCAGAACAGGAAAGCTGACTTGAGGAATGTACAATTTGAGAGAACAACATGGATTACAGCAACAAGCTTTTATTTGAGTCCATTCAACAAGCTTATTTGTATCTCAAAAGTGTTTCCTCGTTTACTAGAATATCAAGTTTAAACCAAAAGGAAATCAGCATATACATCATTATACATCTTATTTAACGCAAGAAGGCATGAAACATGTCGACAGACATCACACGACATCCTCTTTCTTGAGCAACGTCTCACAAACCTCCGCCTGTTGTCGTAGCCGCTGCGCTGCGTCTTCTTCGTTTGGTTGGGCCACAGCGCCAATAAATAGCCGAACGAAATGGCATCTTCATACGCGAACCATGTTATCTTCAGCACATCGCATGTCCGTACCGTCATCGTCTGCAACTCTCGTACGGAAGTCGCTAGATCTGGCCAGCACATGGCCTTGATCTCTTTCTGCAAATTGAAAGCCACAGTTCTGGCATGAGATGCGGTTTCTCCAGTAAGTAGAGGATTCAATACTCTGAGATCCGTAAAGGGTGCTAATGTTGAGCCACCAAGAGGCTCGAAGGCAAAGAAAGGAATCCCCTTGATCCAGTGGTGGCCAACGAGGGCCATTTTGTTGTGTTCACTGTACTAGATGATGCAAGGTTCATGCATGGCTCGCCTGCCATTCCTCAATAGCCGTTTATTTCAGGAGCTCCTCTCCTTGCTAGCAATGCAGGTTTCATGGAGTACGTCCTCTCCTTGCTCAGTAGACGCAAATCTAAAGAAGTGGAGAGGGCCTTGCTTGCCTCCATGTCTGCAGATCGGTACTCAGCGTCTGTGTCACGTCATCTTGGAAACAAGCAACAACAATGAGTAGCGTTAACGCAGAGAGATGAAAGGTCTATTTGACATTCCCAGACATTATACATTTCTTCTCCCATTTCTTTGATCAAGTAATGATTACTTGTGTATAGTTTTGAGGGAAAGCTTTATTCAGCTCGGAACCGATCACTCTTCGACAGTCTTATTACAATCATCACAACGTCCTTGACTCATCCCTACGCTGCAAGAACACAAGAAGTACCTTTGTAGCACTCACAGAAGCCAACTGAC